CATTCCATCCAAGGCCCTCAAGTATTTGTTTCATGTCTACACGATTCAAAGCATGGAAAAGTTGGTCAAGCATTATCTTGCAGCGGATCGGCACGGCATGAGCACCATAGAGAAGCAGGCTGGCCATGTCAAATACATCACTGGTCTGGACGCCATGAAATTGTAACGATGGGAATAGCGCCCTCGATGCTAGCTTATCCAAAGCTGTATTGAAAGTAATATCGCAGTATAGATCACTAAATCAAACTAAACTACTTTAATGAACAATCTACAAAAATCTTGATGTAAATAAAGTAAAAAAAATATTGAACACAAAATCTAAACCTATTGATTGTGATGTGCATTTCTTACCTTTTGAAAAATAAAAGTAAATGCACTATAGTACTACTGTACCATGCATTGAAAGAACCCTTCATATCCATGGAATTTGGAGTACTGTAAGCAACGAAAATAAGCAACGAAAAATAAGCACCCAAGCATGCACAAACGAAAGAAGTATTAATGAAATGAGAGCTCATAGAAAAAGTTCAATGTATTTTAAAAGATAAACAACTTTTAAAGGTATCTTCCTAATACTTGGACAATCGAAAATATACTCTTACAAAGAGTATTTTTTGTAACTATCATTATGATTACTTAGTTATTATATTTATTGTTATGTATTGTACATAATTTTATTTAGTAATATTTATATCAATATTATATACAATGATAATTTGTCTGTTATGGTTTAAAAAACACTTTATTTGTTTCCTTGATATGATAAATGTATTTTAATTTCTTTACGGCTTAACATTAGCTGACCCTCTTGGCTTATTTGAAAATGTGACATTTAAATGTAAATTTCAGATTATATGCAATAATAATTTTAAGGAAATTTGATTTTGTTTTTGAGAAACCACTTAATTAAAATGTTAAATTAACATTTTCCCTAGTCATTGAATTTAGGCCACTGTGACTACCTTAAATTTGGTATTCAGACGTTGCAGCTTAGCTATGAGGCCAAGTTGGACGACAACATGAAATGAGATAAAGTGGCACAACAAATACTGATGAATGACTGAATAATTAATCAACCAACGAATCGATCAATGTATCAGTACTATATACTTGTATACTGTATTACATTTGCCTCTATGCCCTTTCTAGAATGACAGAAAAATCAATCAATCAAACATTCTATCAATCATTGCTATACTTTCATCAAAGGATTTTTTTCAAACACAACTGGAAAAAATAATCTATTCTCTATTTCCACCATAATTATACGTTTTTTATTGTACCATGCTTGGTTATGAGATCCTATGAGATTACACTGTAAGCTTTTTTCATTGTTCGAATATTTACGACCATTCTCATTTTTATGACACAACTGATGCATCACCCCAGTATTTAGTGACTGCCCTGGCGTGTCTAGGTCCTTTATGCCTTAGGTGTTTAGGCAAACTAAATAATATCATTATTATTTAGGCTAAACATGGAACTATATTGTAAAATTTTGGGTGTATGTCTTTCTTTCCCTTTCTTGAAGACTTCATTGAATAAATTGAATTGAATTACTCTTTACTATTTAATGGTGCATGTTGCATCATTATCTTCCTGAAAAATTTTGTTTAACTACAGTATGTAAACAAAATGTTATGTTCTTTGGCTATTTTACTATGATATGTCAATCAACCATCCCATAATTAAATAGTAATAATAATTCATTCAATTAATCAGTCACATGATTATCAATTGTATGCAAATGTCTGCAGTGCAGTGGTTCCTACTCTTGGCACTCCCTTTAGCTATCGGCAACAGGACAGTACGTACGGGAAACAATTGGCACGCCACAGCAGTTGTGACAGGACTTTGTATGCTGATAAATCCCTTGTACGTGTAAGGTAGATTGCTAAGAGAACATTCACCATTGGAAAATAATGTTCTGAGTATGCTCTGCTCTATTAAAAATCAAACTATGTACAAATAATGTTATATTAATCAATTTAAAAAATTAAATTACTTGAAATATCTATCCCAAAAATCCTGTACTGAACAAATCATCAAAAAATCAATCACCAAATCAATAAATTAACCAATCAATCAATTAACCAATCAAACAAATCAATGATAAACCAAAAACCTGCTATACCTATCAAAGACCAGTTATCAATATTCCGAGAAAGGCTAGGAGGTGGTGAAACAGGCAAAGAGAAATAACAGAATAGTCCAATCAATAAATAACTCAATCAATCAATCGCAAATTAGTATAAAATCACCTTCAAACACTTTCACTGGAAAAACTCCTATTACAGTAGAATTATGAAAATAAAAAGCATTGAATTACAGCCATGCTTGTTAGATTTCCCAAAAGTAGAATAAACCTAAAATCTCAGGGCTCTCCTAGAATTAGGTGAAGAAACAAATATCTATCAAAAAACATCAACAAAATACCAATATATTGGGTACTTTAAATAACAATTTTTTTTTCCCAATATATAAAAATAGATCAAAGTGATTTTGTGATATTTTGGAGCACACTGTCGTGGTTAGAGGCCTTTGAATGACACAGATTTGACCTCTATCATAGAGCACACCTACTTCCTTGCAACACTCCCTCTTTTAGTTAACATCAGCCAACAATATATTGAAGGTTATATAATCAATTGACAAACATTATTGGTTAAGTCTACATTTAAAAAGAAAAATGAATCGATCAAGAGGGAATTTAGTTAAATTCTGTTAATGTTCATAAAACTTCTTTATAATACCACCTGTTCTTCCTCAAAATCAAAGAACAATAATTATTGATTCAAAATGTTTACCATTAGTCATAAAATGTAAAAATAAATCTTATGTTAAATAGCTCATTTAATAAGATAAACTTGAGCTATTAACATCCAATGACACATTAGAGAAACCAGCTAATTTAAGGCCATTGTTAAAAAAAAAGTAGTTTCTCGTCCTAATATTTTAAAAAAAGGGGGATGGGGGAACTTTTTTTCGGCTCCGAAATGCCAAATCTAAGATGGTCGATAGGAAACGGCTACTATTCTCTCACTACCTTGCGTTTATACTTCAATTCTTTAAAATCTTAAGCAGGCATTGGTAAATTGCAAGCAAGAAGCAAGCATCTATTATTTTTAGAACAGGACAATGTGTAGTTTTGACACATTATCAGGAAAAAATAAACGCAACAGTATTTACTAGAATCCTGTATTTCAATGGTTGACCTTTGCTAGGTTTAACTTTACAATGTTTGATTTATTAATAATTTTATATTATACATCCCAGAGTATGGTTAAATTTCAGTTTCTGTTTGAAGCAGCTGTTTAGATAGTGAAAAAGCAACTTTTTCGTGCATAGCCATTACACATGTACACGGCAGATGTCTCACGCATGCGAGCGCAGTACATTAGCTGTATCACGCATGCGTGCACATTACATCTGCTGTCTCGTGCACAGTAGAGTGTCATTGGCTGTCTCAAACTTAGTTGTTACGTATGCTCACACACTTTCAGGCTCCAAGATGGAGAGGCAGACTATATAGTAAACGTCACCGAGAGACACTTAAAAATAACTACAAGCTACTACGCCAGGCCTACATGTACAGTAGTTGAGCATACAGTAGTGGACAAAGATGATGACTCTATATGAAAATGGTTTTATTTGAGAGTTTGATTAGAGGAGGGTAACAAATTTTATTTCGCTCTCTGGAAAATATCTTAAATTGGAAATGATTTTTTTAAAATTTGTAAAAAGCACAATAAAGCTGATTTGGTATAAAAACATGAAATGCTAAACAGACTGACATTATAAAAACCTTTCATGCATGTGGAGTTTTTTTTTTCACAATGTGACATTAATTTAGTCACATAACAAAATTAATTTACTGGCATGACAAATTAATTTTCCAGCGTGACAAATTAATTTTCTTGCATGACATATTAATATTTTTTCATTGCAAACTGTGTGTGGAACTTGCCAAATTAAACTCTTTTTTTGCATGACAAATTATACTTGGTCTTTCTATTTCTCCATGCCAAATCTTCATTTTGCATACAAATATGTAAATTTATCTAATCAACCCATGTGTATGACCAATTTTAATTTGTCAAATAATTCAGACAGACTTGCAGACACAAAATTAAATTATTCATCCTCTAATTCTGAGCATGTTGTGAGATATACTAAACATAAGCTAAGGAAGGACAGTTTCGTTTCGAAAATCCATTTATTCTTAATAAAATTATAAAAATATTATATTTGGCCAGTTAGTGCAACCGCTGCCATGAAAAATTTGTAATTTGTAGATATTTTTTATCAGTCTTTTGTTGCAAAGAAATGTGCAGTTAAGAAAGTATTTAGCCATAAATGAGAAAAACAAAGTTTCATTTATTTTTACATCCTCCTATGACGACCTCTGAAAAAGTAGTTTGCTAACATTGAACAATGTATAAATAGTGTGTTCTTGAAGTATTGACAGTAAATGAAACAAAAAATTAAAGTCCACATTATTTTGATTGTATAGTTTCTCATTTTTTGTTTTGCTTGATATTTGGTATAATGTCTAAAATTGACATTAACTACCATTATTTAATTAATGTTAAGGTTTTGAGGTAAACAAAATAAACATAAACAGTGAATGATAAAGAGAACCCAACATGCAACAAAATATTGAATAAAAAATGCAATGAAATAAAGCTTTTTAAAGTGAAACAATTAAAAGAATCATCATATGAAAATTTCCATTAAAGCAAGGAATATTGAACTAAACTACAGTAATGTTATTGATAATAAACTTAAAACCATCTAATACTTCTACACTAACAAAATTCCTAATTAAACATAAATTTACCATTAACAATTTATCGACAAAAAAATAATTTTCTGCAACGTTTTAAAATAATCCACAAATTCTTAACTTGATTAAAGAACGTAGTAAGGAACAATTATAATAAAACATGTTGACACAAGTTTATGGACTGTTTAATAAAATGTTTAGCAAGTAAACTTACCATGAGCAACCCATCCATGCTGACAAGATTGGCAGGTTCTTAGCTGCGACTTACAGGGGTTGAAACACTCACAACTGCAGCCTGGCAGTGTACATCGAATGGCCTACCACAAGAATAAATAATGATAAGTCATAAGCAAGTATCAAAATACACATTTTTCCAATACAATAACTACACAAAATAAGGATCGTTATGTTCAGTAAGATTAGTGGTAATGAAAAAAAAAAACATCAATATACAATTAGTATACAACAATAAATAAGATGTCATAAAGTTATACTAGCTGTATTTAGGTCATAATTAAGACAGAAATTTAACAAATCATAAAAAGTAACCGTACAGCGCTGGCAACAACTAAGTAATAACTTAGTAAATGCTAGTAAATACTAAAATAAAAAATGTACTTGTAAACCTCGTGTTAAATTTGCAGGCATAACAACAAAATTATGATTAAAAAGATAAAAAGTATTAAAATTAAGAATATATAACAACAGTTTTGATATATCCAACAACCTTCATAACAGCCGATAATGCCTGCGAAAGATAAAAAAAAACAAAACGTGGATGCCAAATTGATAAGGTAAGAAACAGCTGAAGTTGGAGCAAGTGTGTCTGGCTTGCTGTACGCGCACACAATGGAGTGTCGTGGTCGTGTGTTTCTATTTACACAAGTCATAGCACATGGGGAAAGCAGACACTATAACAGCATTTCCTGACTGTTGTTTAAGGTGTGGGTAGGAAATCCTGTACAAAAAAAAAGGTTCCGTTGGACATGAATGCTAAAAGTATCATCTAAAGGTGATATAATCTGTTCAATTAAGCATGAGATTTTGGTTAGGTGATAATTTCACTTTGAAGAATTAACAATTTATTTTAAAGACTGTCTAAAAATCAATATTTTCATTCTGAAAAATTGTATTATACAGATTTAAAAAGCTGTTTTTGTAACTTATACTGCAGGCACTGATAATGATTGAGTATCTATAAAGAAAGATTGTATTATTAATCATTATAAATATCATTATCCTTATTAACAAATTTACATAATTGATTTTCCTTTTTCTCATGACCAGAACAACTGCACTTCAAGCCTCAGTCATAATGACACTTGTATCTGAGCATCTTGTGTTTATGTTTGTCTTGTGAAGGGATGCCACTTTGAATAGTGATTAAGTTCGCTGCTTTTAAAGCTTCTTGGCCTTCGGCCTAAACCAATAAAAAAATAAAAAATTGGGGGAGGGGGAGAGGGGGCACGATCAGTCTACATATTGTCCCACTTACTGGGGAAAACAAATTTTAAGGTACAATTCATTGGGAAAAAAGTCAAACTTGTGTAAGATAAATCTCATTTTATCAATAATAAATTTAAATAACTTCCTTGAGTCTTTATATTATTATTAGGGAGGGTAAGGAGGAGGAAACTCGTAATACAATAAGCCACTAGTTGTAGGCAGAGATAAAGTTTAAATTTTATACCACTAGTTTTTGATATTGATTTTTCATTTTGTTGCCATACAGTAATATGGGACTGATTATTGGTGGATTATACCCGTTAGAGATAAACAGCCTCGCCATTGGCTACACTTAAAAGTAAGCCTAACAAGTTGGTAATAACAATAAGTGGGATTTGTATAGGTATTGTACCATCATTTTGAATCTAAATTATTTATTTAAATTGAAAAACTACTGTACTGCACCAACCCATGTACACTCCTTATAATTTACAGGCTCTGCTAAAACACATGAAAAACAAAATATAAGGGCAAATTTAAAAAAAAAAATGGTTTCTCGTTGCCTCATGCATCAATTTTCTCTGCCTCACCAATTTTTTTAAAATTTTTTTTATTTCCTTTATTTTACAAAACTCACATCAGTAAAATTTCTCTCTACGATCTTTTATGGATACATACTCTATGGTATGAACCATGTATAGTGCTTCTTTTATTTGCTTTCAATGTGTAAAAGTGAGAAAGTAGTAGCTGTTTCCCATCGACCATCTTGAATTTGCCATCTCAGAGTAAAAAAAAAACTAAAAAAAGTGCCCTCATTCTCCTTTTTTAAAAATATTAAGACAAGAAACTAATTTTTTTTTCAACTTGGCCTAATAATAGTATGTAGAGTACCACAGTTGTGTCGTCACGACGCCAGGAGGTGCTCTCTGTTGTCAACAGACGTTAGTTACCGTACATTACGCCTGAATGACTTCATAGGCTTTGGATACGTATACTCCAATTAATTTCACTGTAAATGTGGAGATACAGCACATAATTCAAACCGTCAAAATGTGTTATTGTGCGATCATTAGTCTACCACATTAAAACATGAACAGAATACTGAGAATGATTTTACTTCCAGTACAGTATACTGTATTATATAGCCAAAATTTTTCTTGAAAATTAAACACAGTGACCATTTTAATTTTCTTTAGTGTCTTGTTAGTTATATTTTAGTAAAAACTAAGTAATCCTCAAAAAGTCATGATCTTGGGTTTAGTAGCAAGTTGTTTCCTACTGTACAAATGATGGCAAAGTTTGTTTGGATAAAGTAGTTTTGGTTTGGAAATAAATTGACTTTATTTGATTTGAAATTTGAGATATTTATGAATCCCCTATGCAGGGGTCATCCATTCAAACTTTATTAAGTCATTTTAGATTGGGATCAGACAAGAATCAGGCGGTAGACTCGTGAAACACTTTTCCCAAATCGGTTATCGAGGCTAGCTTCCTAAATGTATTAAGTGTTGTTATGAAAGAGGCATGGTGCAACCATGTTAAAATTGTCTTTCTTAATTCTACCATCTTCCAAATCTCATGCACCAGTTCACCAACAGCAGTTACGGTTTTGTTTTTCAATTGTGCCATATAAGCAATTTTGCAACTTACAGTGTGGGCCTAGGACGCCCAGTTAAAATAGAGCTTTAAGAGCCAAGGTCAGGGCATATAGACAGTAATGTACATATGCTAGCTAGGTTTGCAAAAGGTGAAAAAACCCGAAAAACCAAGGAGATATGCAGACGCCCAGACATATGGGTATGCAAAGCTGAGATTGCAGACTGTTGTAGCTAGCATAAGCCCCATACACTGTATCAAAAACTCAAATTTCCAAATAAGTTCACTAAAAATAAAAAAAATAAGAGCTCAGATACTACTACTGAATTTAAATTCATTAATAAGCAATCAATAGGTCAAGGCCTAATTTTCCGTAAAATTTGCACGGAAACCAGCAGCTATTTTCCAAAATGCACAGATGGATTTCTAGGCCTAATTTTTGCGAGGACATATTTCCCACACTGCCAGGCCCTATTTTATTAGTCTGGCGTAATGCCATAGGCTTAAGCCTAGCTGGCTGTAAACTAAATTACAGCCCTTTAACTAGGCTATGCCCCGTCTAGCTAGAGCCTAGACGGGGCCTAAGCTAGCATTAGAATTCTTCATGCTCTATAATATGGAACATAAAGAGGAAGGAGTAGACCTCTGGCCTACAACTAGGCCTGCCTAGGTACAGGCTTGGCCTAGCCTAGGGTTTGGCTAACCTACCAAAACAATAAGCTGGCTAACTATCTAGCCTAAGCTAGCCCTCCCTCTCAACATTCTATCCTTCCTAAACACAAGGAGGCTAGCCTAGGCCCTAGGGTTTGAATGATTCTCGCAGAGGCTAACCTTATACAATCATAAACTTAGGTACATTTTTAGAAAAAACTGACATATTACTAAGAATTCAAATGACAATTTTGCACAATTCAAAATGCACAATTGCAGAAATCGGGTACCAATTTAACAGAACTTACAGTGGCCATAGTTGCTGCATTGCACCCTTTAATAATTTATTACAACGTCTGTTTCAGTGAGCCTAATTTGTTTGTGATGGTTCTGAGCTGTACATGTTCCAGGTAAAATTGAAGCAATGATACTTAAAATACATCGTTATTTTATTAACTATAAAGGAATTCAAATATATATAATGCTCTTAGTGAATATCGGCGCCTGAATATCAACGTGTTACTTTGTACTACAAGCTAGCTAGAAATACATGAATTGAAACACGTCCTTGTATGTACTGTATTTTCCTTTGAGCTAGCTGCTGTATACGCCGGAAACTTTATTCGCTAGAGGGGGCTATACTCTACAGCGCTAAATTTGAAAGCTGATAAATAAAAATTCCCAGAGGATAGGCTAGGCCTAGGCCTATGTTTGTTTATATTTCACCGATGCTCTCAGAATAAATTCTTGATTTCCCGACCATCGTTATGGACTCTTTACATGCAGAACAGTTTAAAGGTATTTTTGATATATCACATAATTGGTAAGGCTACATATATTAGTGTTAATACATCAATGAAACTGTTACATTACCACGATCAGTCAGACTCACTCAGGCAGAGAGAGGGCCAGCTCCATGAGGTCTAGGCTAGGCCTAGGGGCCTGTAGCCAGAAGAAGGAGAATTTCTAGAAGCCACATGGGCCTAGACCTAGTAGTAAGCCTGGACGAATATATGGACAAAATTTATTCTGCTTTAAGCACCATGTTTTTTTCCAGGATTCTTTTAAAGTGTTTCATTTTAAGGGCCTTTAAATTAAGGGCCTGGCCGCTATTCTGGACAGCAATTCAATCTTGGACAGACTAGCCTATTCCAGCCATTAATTACTCAAGATGAGAAAAATTTTCTCCATAAATTATTGGTGGTCCAGGGTTTAGCCACCTTGAAAGAATGACCTCTCATTTTCGAATAAACATCAAAATCAAAAAAGATTTTTATCCAGGGCATCGCAGCCCTCGCTAATTCTGAAAGCTTGAATGAGGTCGGCCCAACGACGCCTAGGCCTGTAGTGTAGTGAGGGTAATTTAAGGTGGTTCAGTCTTTGTTCATACGTTGAATGACCTAAATCACGAACCATTTTAGTCGCTTTCCTGTGCACCCCTTCGATACTATCAGCATCTCAAAAACTATTAGGTGACCAAACTGGCAAACCATATTCCAAGCAAGGGTGAATTAGCCTAGGCCGTAGGCCTAGTTAAGCAGTCTAGCCTATTTATGCCCCTGCCCTGGGCAGTTCTTTGTGCCTACAGTATGACAAGTGCATCCAATGCCAGGTCCAGAGTGTGCATTCACACAATGTGCAAGCCTTCCCTCATTCAACCACCTCTTGGGATGACCTGACAGCAATGGTAATGAGGGATGTGGGTGGCAATTGTTTAGTATACAAGCAGAAAGTATGATACACATATCGTATTGTTACTAAATTCATTCTCTTTTCTAATTTAGATGAAATTCGAAGGTTGCAAACTGTGAACCAAGCTCTCCAGGAAGAGTTAACGCAAGTGCAGGTCAAGAAATGGATGACTTAATCATTTTAATTAATCACAACTTTTTTTTTTATAAGAATTTTATTTTAATGGAAATTAAAGCTCAACTAACTATGGGCAACATTAATATATTTAAGCTGAAACAATATTCTATCTGGTTCATGATAACCTTATAATTAAATAGTGTGTCTGTAAAATTGATCATCAAACTTTTTTTCATTGGCAAATTGAGATCTTTGACAGATCTTAAACAAGTAGACTTTACTGGTCGATTATAGCTGCAGCTTTAACACTCTTGAAATAGCTACCCCTCTATTGCACCATTACTAAAACTATTTTGACCAATTGACCACATAGAGTATTTTAAAAAAACAACCACTCCCTGGTAATTAAATTACAAGTAATGAAATACAAGGCAATTTGCACAGACAACTCATTTGCTCAGTGCACTTTATTCACAAACATTAAGTGGAAATAATTTTTTGAAGTCTGGCTTTTCCTAGGCCAAAATACTGAGTGAATTTTATCACTAGAGGTGTTGAATATGACTGACTCAAGATGATGTTAAACATGATTAAACTCTTAATTATAGCCTCCTCATTATTATTCATAATTTCTATTTGCAGGCTGATAAAGAGTTTGTGTGGTCACTATGGCGACGGATGCAGGTAGCAAATCCAAACATCGCTCAGGCTGTGGGCATGGTGGTTCAAAGGTCATTGTTGTAGCATTATAATTAAAATAGCTCTTCTAATATCCATTCTATATTCCTGTTTATTTTGTTCATTGATTCAATTGTATGGCTGTTCTTGGTTTAGTTGTGATGTGCTCCTAAAAAGTTAATGTTTTTGGTAGTGTTTTTTTGCTAATTTAAAAGTTATATAATCATGATTTCTAAGCTACAGTAGGTTGCTTTGTGAGGTCTATAGATAGGCTTAAAATTCATTTAATGTTCATATAATCAAATAACAATATGTTGGGTATTGACGAGGCATCTGTGTGCTTCACATTCACATTAAGTAATTGAAACATATTTGCATTGGAGCACATACTTAACATGGAGGTATCTTTAGCTCCCTAGGATACTATCAGACTGCAGCAAACAACCAGCCAAATACCAAACATTTACCCCTTGTTGGAAAGCAACAAATTATAGATCATAGAGTGCCTTACTTATGGACACAAGCTACTGTACATGAAAAACCTGCGATTTCAACACTGAGAAATGCTGCAGCAATCAATCCATGCAGTAGGCTCTATGATTGCCTCCATAGGAACTTTATTTAAATGTTCTGATGGGCCTACAATTATTAATTATTGTTTTTTCTAATGTATTTCTCCGTCTATGTATTTTGTGTTGATGATGTGGAAATGAACTTTATATTGAATTGAATTTAAGATCATGATAACTTTTAATTATCCAAAGGCTGTAGCATATCCTTCCATGTTTTATTTATATTTTTAGGGAAAAAGAAAAATCAGAAATGAAAGATCGGAAAGTACTTCAGATTTTGCAAGTGAAGGATGACCAAATTGCTGAAAATTCTAAGGTAAAGGCACCCTGATTAATTCTGTTAATATCTGGAACTCTAAAATCGATGTGATTATTTTATTTTGAATCATATTTGAAGAGTGTATTTTATCACAGCTTATCAAATGATACAAAGCTTTTGATTATTAGGTCTAATAAATTAAATTGTTTGTTTGTCATTTAATGCTGAAAATTGTATAGGAGGGGCAGGTGCAAAAAGTTTTTTTTTTTTTCTGCTGTCACCAAAATTAACATATCAATTCGCAATGATGGCAGTTTGCCTGTCTCACTATTTGTTTTTTTAAAGGGTATTCATCAGACTGAATAAAAATAACCCATAATCGATATTTTGCAATGAATTTAGGCCTAGAATGGCGATACCTTACATCAGACACCAAATTTAGACAACTTTCATAAACATGTGCAAAATGGAGAAACAAAAAGAAAACTGTTTTTAAAAACACCACCCCTATTTTTCCCTGAGCTAGGGGCGGGTGCTGGAGGGCAAACAAACTTTTTTTTTAGGCCTTATCATTATTATTATTATAATTATTATACTCGATACTTTAATTAATACTAATTATAACAATAACAATTAACTTGATGTGCAGAAAAGATTTAATTTGAGACGAAGCAACATTATCACGATACCTAAAAGCAAAACAAATTAGTCACAAGATTAGTCCTATCCCGTACTCCTCAAGATCACTCAATATTATGGTAATTATTAATAATAATAACAATAATAATTAAATCGATTTTTGCACAAGTTTGTAAATTTGAATTTTTATCCTGTTGTCTTGATTGTAATTTCCTCTTTAAAATTTTTAAACGTTGTGAATTTTTAATGCCATTTTCTTAATTTTAATGGTTATTTTTTAATTACTGTTATCCCTTCTCTTTTGAAGTTATCTGCACTCAAAATAGCCACTTTGTTTAACGACGCAATTTTTTTGTGATTTGACGAACCGTTAATGGGAAACATAGGCTTTTTTCACTTTTTAGGGCTGGTCCCAACTTTGAATGGATGTCATTCCATTTTAATTCATTTGATCAGCCTGTGTTTGCTTGTGGCTAGTGACAACTACCCATAGATAATATATCTATAATTTAAGATGTATACACTCACTCATACGGACACAGGGTGACTTTGAAAATCACAAAAAAATTGCGTTGTTACACAAAGTGGCTATTTTGAGTGCAGATAACTTAAAAAAAGAAGGGATAACAGTTAATCTGATATTTGTGTAATATAGGGGAATATAAGTTAGAATACCAAGTTTGACCTTGATAGCTATTACCAATCCTGAGTTATAAGCTTCCAAAGTTGGAGGAAATTGCATTTGTGGATCTTGAAGAGCCACACCCCTTTTTTGGGGTGTCAATATCTCGGAAACTACAAAAACTATAACCCTAATTTTTTTTGAGTGTTGGTTTTTCACATAGTGGATCATTTTTATGGAGTTTCATCAAAATCTTAAAGGGTCATACTGGAACTTTTTTGAAATCTGGTTGATTTGACACAGAATGACCCATAAGTCATCTTTTACAATATATTCATTAATGGGATTTTGAGAGTTTTAATTTAACAAGGATTTATTCAATGTGTGCTGTGATCTAGAAGAAATATAGCTCAATATAAAATAAATACTATTTTGAGATTTACTTGTTCCTTTTCTGCCTAAATATTCTGTTTGTTTTTTTTGAATTCATAAAGTAACTTTTGATCCATTGACAACTTTGTCATTTTAAACATTTTTTTTTCTAGGTTATTGCACAACTCCAGCAGCAGTTGGGTGAGATTTCTTCACAGTAGGTTAATTTTTTTTCTATCAACCCCTCTATTTATTGTAGTTAGTAATATCTGTCATTGTTACCTGTAGAAGTAAGTAGAGGGATTATGTTATTAACTGAAGGGATCAGCACTTGACTTCCGTTTCAAAACTGCATAGATGAGCAAGTTAATAAATGCAGCTCATCGTAATCATGATGATGCTCATTTGTTTTTTGTTTAAAATGGTGTGATCCGTTTTGCGAAATACAATTATTTGCACAGGTCACGTTCTACGGCAACCTGACAGGAGTTGTTTACACTTCTGGTGGTGAAGGTGCAAGAGTGCAATTAGTTGCGGTTAGAGACGTGAATTTAATAAGTTTGATAAACTTTTGCCGGAACATGCCTGTTCCTCTTCAGGTGTGTAACAAAGCTAAGTGTGGAGGTGTGACTTTCAACTGTATTCTCTGCTACGTATTTCCTGGTATTTTGTATAATTAATAATAGGTAGTTGAAATAATCTATATGGCTCTACCTATTAGTAAAATTAATTTACAACCTCAAATCAAGGAACATTTATTTCCATTTCATTTCTTATAATTATTATTTTACTTTAGTTTTAAGTAGTTTAAGTTTAATTCTGTAAGTAGCAGGTTTCCCGGTGTTGAATGAGAATTTCAATAAATAAATAAATAAGTTTCAGGAGTGTGGTGGTACCATTTTAGTACGACTCTGTGGTAGAAAAGCTATTAACGTACAAAATTGTACTGTATTTTATTAAACTTTGTGACTTTCATTTGAACTTTAAGCTATATAACTATCTATACATACCTATATTTTTTTAGTTTTAAATTTAGACAAAAGCATTATTGGAAATGTCTGAGAAAAAAAATGAAATTGCTTTGTAAAATCAGGCATGACAGAATTTAGTATATTGTACTGTACTACTGTACATTCTTTAATGGAGTCCTTATTCTTGGACAATACTTTTCCTATACCTTGTTTCAAAAACCCTCTCCTGCTGAAAATGCTGTTTTTAGATACTGAAAAAAATAATTGTTTTTTTTTGGCCTGTTAAAAAATGTAAGTTTCAGAAAAATGCTATATATTATTACACCACTGTCATAAAATTTCCCAGTGGGAAATTAGGTTGATTTTTTCTTTATATATGCATGGTTAAATTATTAAAACAGTAGTTACAAGGGACAAACCTCCTTTAACATCTCTAGTATAAAAGTAAACTAATATAGATCCCACTGATTTATATTTTGGATATAGGCCTAATTTGAATATGTTTCTAAATTATTTGGATGTTAGCCTTTGATGGCTTTTCAGCCCTAAAGAAATGAAAACAAATGATTTGAAATTCTTTTGAACTCATCAGGTCAGAGCATGATGCAGAAAATAGAGAGAAGATTCTAGATCTGCAAACCAGGAACAGGGAACTGCAGCTCAGGAAGGAAGAGGTAGAGAGCATGGTAGGTGTGGACTCAGGGGCACCATGTTAGGACTTCTAACTGTGCCTTATACATGATTGTTTGGCCAAGTACCTCTCATCCCCTTGCCTGTTCCCCTGGAGGTGATTTCCCAGAGAAGTTTTGCTCTCTTTTAGAAGCAGGCCTAGAAAATTCAGGTCAAGTACTTCATGTGCCGGTTTAACAATATTTTCTTACAGCTGTATACAAGTGAAAATTTTACACTTGTGAAACTAATCTTCAAACAAAATATACAAACCTAAAGTGAAAATATTAATTAACCAACTATAAAACAGTGTTAATGACCTTTTAATCTGCAATGACATCATTAGCAAGAAAACAATTCAACTGTAAATAAATAAACCAGGATCCTTGTCAATCAACCGCATTTCACCTTATGTGGTAACATATTAACATTCTTATGATGTCCTCGTACCCTGAATCACAGTACATGAAACTTCCAGTGCAATTGGTAACAGATCATATCTAATATGATTAGGAGAAATGTGGACAATTTTATAGCCGGATAATTTTTTTATTTTTTTTTTGGCTATAACACTGTACACCTGCATTACTAAACCTGTGGTGTTGATAATGAATTCTTAATTTTTTTTTAAATTATTTATATTTGACAATAAAAATATATTACTGTTATCAACAACATTTCCAACACCTTATATTATCACACTACTATCATCAAATAAGTTATTTCATACTGCATCCCTAACATAGGCCTTGACCAGTGGTACCCAACCTTTTTGCATTTACAGACCCCCTCGGGACATGTTGGAAGTCTTCATGGACTTAAGTTTACTCAATGTCGATATTCCACTAATAGGATAAGATCATAGATGATTTGCAACAAACATACAACATAAAAGCAATTTTGTTATTAAAAGGCCCCTAATAATTGGTAGTAAGATGTTTATCAAACCCTTGTAAGATGAGAAAAGTAATGGAACCATGAAAAATTGGTCTAAAAGTGTAATGGCCATTAACATATATTTTGGACCCTCCTGGCGGACACTTTTGACTTGGCAGATTTATTTTATTTACAAATTATTTTTTGCAGAGCACAGCTTTTGATTTTGATTTGATGATTTGATTTGAAATGGATAGATAGATAGTCACTATCATCAAAATAATTATGATAACTGCAATAAAAAATAATAATATTAGCTTTACCACTATAATACATCTAAATCACCTCATAATCATAAATATTGAAAATAATAATTATTAATTACACATGATCATTTCTTTTACGATGTTAATATCTCAACTTTATTTTAATAAAGTCAATGATGGCCAGATATTCCCAGTAGGAAATAGTTAAATAATAATAATAATAATGATAATGATAATGATAATGATAATGATAATGATAATGATAATGATAATAATAATAATGATAATGATAATGATAATGATAATGATAATGATAATGATAATAATAATAATAATAATAATAATTATTATTATTATTATTATTATTGCTTTATGATTTCTTTTAATTTGATTGTAATATGTCAGCTTGAGGAGGAGATCACAAAAAGTGAAAGTCGAGAGAAAACTCATACAGAAGAACTTGCAAGAATCACACATGAGAAAGCTGGTAGGAATCTACAACTATTTTCTGTACTAAAGAACTTAGCTAATAAACAACTGTCTAATTATACAGGAATGTACTTGCATATTCATCAGATGTATTTTTATCTACTGTGTTTTATTCAATAGATTTATATTTTCCATGGCTAGGACTCAAATTTAAAAGCTGTCACATTACTCCAGAATATATAATTATTATACAAGTGTTAATCTACAGTGAGTTAATTAGATGTTTTTGCTATATTTTATCATAAAGATAATGTAATAAAATAATTTTATATCAAATTATCAATTAAATTTACCAACACAAATTGAAAATTTTCTTTGCATTAAATCAGAATTGGAACTTAACATTGAATCTTTATCCCAACGTGTCATCAAAGCCCAAGAGGAGATAGACAAACTACAGGAGGTCAGAGTTAAGGTCAGTCAAATTATATTATATTGTTGCTATATAAATTATCATTTTGGTATGTATATATATAATAGTACAGCATTTACATCAGTAAGACAAGGTCTTACTTCGATGAGCGCAGTATAATAACAGAAGAAGTAGAGTATATTGGCCCTAACGGCTGCCGATGCAAAAAAGATCTATTAATCAATCAGCAAAAAATATTAATCAATCAGCCGGGTATTCCTACAGCTACTCATCGCAGCTAAAAAGGTCTATTATTCAGTCAGCCGAGTGTTTCTGGAGCCTCATCGGAGCTAAGAATAATAAGAATAATTGGCCCTAACGGCCACCCATACAAAAAAGATCTATTAATCAATCAGCCGAGTGTTTCTAGAGCTTCTCATCGGAGCTGATAATAATAATAAAAATATTTGGACCTAACGGCTGCCCATACAAAAAAGATCTATTAATCAATCAAGCCGAGTGTTTCTAGAGCTTCTCATCGGAGCTAATAATAATAATAAAAATATTTGGACCTAACGGCTGCCCATACAAAAAAGATCTATTAATCAATCAGCCGAGTGTTTCTTGAGCTTCTCATTGGAGCTAATAATAATAATAAAAATATTTGGCCCTAACGGCTGCCCATACAAAAAAGATCTATTAATCAATCAAGCCGAGTGTTTCTAGAGCTTCTCATCGGAGCTAATAATAATAATAAAAATATTTGGACCTAACGGCTGCCCATACAAAAAAGATCTATTAATCAATCAGCCGAGTGTTTCCAGAGCTTCTCATCGGAGCTAATAATAATAATAAAAATAATTGGCCCTAACGGCTGCCCATACAAAAAAGATCCATTAATCAATCAGCCCAGTGTTTCTAGAGCTTCTCATCGGAGCTAATAATAATAATAAAAATAATTGGCCCTAACGGCTGCCCATAGAAACAAGATCTATTAAAGCAATCAGCACAGAAAAGATCTATTATTCAATCAGCCAGGTATTCCTAGAGTCAGAGCTAAAAATTCTTAAAGTAGTTTAATTAATAAAGTTATGGATTTTGAATCCCCACGGTCTGCCAATTATGTGAACTGGATAGAGCAGAAGCAGTTCACAGAATTTGTGTGAATCTAATCATAATACATATTTATTCTTTTTATTTAGTACTTTTTAGTACAATTTTTACTCCTATTATAAAAAGCTGTGATCAGGTGACTGTTCAGAAATATTATTTGCTTACATAGTTCTACTAGAGTTTTTATTTATTTTGATATATATATATATATATACACAAAAAAAATATACAATGGGCAGCAAAAGCTGAAAATATATTCAGCTTTGTATATTGTATTCACAATTACTTAAGAATATAAAAAATGATATAAAAAAAACAATGTTTTAAAAAAAAATATAGTGCTGGCAAAAGTCTCCTATTGTGAGCTGAAGGTTGATAAATTTTGTAATACTTCGAAATGAGTGATTTTATTTATTGAATGTTAAAGGGATTTCGTGAATATTAGTAACCTATTTGTATTGTAGTGAATATAAAAATGATAATGAAAGTTAAGATTGTTATCTATTTATGATATCTATATATTGTCATTCATTGCAGGGTCTTGAAAAGGATGTGGTGCGTTTAGATAGACGAGCCACTCAAGCAGAAATACAAGTATGTATTGCCCAATCATTTTCCAGATGATTGTCAATTATGGCATACGTTTCCGTGTGTTATTGTGTTTTTCTATTATTTTCATCTTTGATGTGGCTTCCTCTACACAATTTGTGGCTATCTTTTCATTTCTCATAAACAAGTTGATAGAATTAATATAGGTTATAAAACAACCACAATTTAACAACATGTACATTCATAGTAAATATTTATATATATATGTAAATATAATAATCCAATTTGTGCATTTTATCCTAAAGTAATAAAAAAAAAATATTTATGCATCAACCATTTTTGATAGTAATTGTATTATTATTTATCTTACAATTTTAGCTGAAGGAGAAATCTGAGGCCCTTTTACAATCTGAGTCAAAAGTGATGAACCTCACCAAGAAGGTTAATAAGGTTGAAGGTGATTTGCATATTGCAAGGTACAATCTAATTCATTTAAAAGATAAACATTCTCAGTAATCTATCCTGTGATTTGCTGATATACTGCACAGCCAATATATATATATATATATATATATATATTGCTTGACAAAGGTTGATAACCGAAAACGTTTGCTCACTATTAAATAAATATATACCTGGCAACTTATTACTTTCTCTCCGGATTTGCATGGCGAAATAACTGTCTCTTATACACATCTTATATATATATACATCCTCAATAAATGTACTGAGATATACATTCCTTAATTGGTTGATGCGGTGCACATCAACCTACTGATATCTACTATAATAGCTGGATTGCTCATCTGCCAATCATTGTACAGAAAAAAGTGAGGCCACCGACGCCATGTTGTAGGGCCTATGTGACGTATCTGTTTAGATAAGTTTCATTTGGCATTTGTTTAAATTATTGTTAAAAATAATGATTCTTGCAATATTTTTCAATAATAAATTTACGATTCTTGCAATATTTTTCAATAATAAATTTAAATATAACATAAGTATTTTTTCCGCATCATCTAACCACTCGACACGACTGTTTAAGCAGTTTACAAAAGTGTGAGCGAAGTCGTGTTGTTGTAGTGACGTTGATCACTAACAATGCAAATAACTTCGATTGCGCTTTTTAAAATTGCATAAACAGTCTTGTCAAATGTTTAGATAATTTGAAAAATAATCGTTATGTTAAATTTATTATTAAAAAGTATTGCAAGGATCGTTATTTTTAACAATAATTTAAACAAATGCCAAAAGAAACTTGTCAAAACAGCAGATGCGTCATCAAAAAATGAAAATTGACTTTTTAATATATACTCTACTGGAATCAAATTATTATTGCTAAAGTTATGAGTAAAAGTATTCTGGCTTCCCTGTACTGAAGTATACAATACTGCAACATTCTTATGCTAACTGCACACTTTAACATATAGCAATGTTGGTTTTAGGATGGCAGTTTCATATTTTAGCTCAGTATCTCACTGTGTACGAATTTGTGCAGTGTGTGTAATCGATTTTACATTTTATGTAAATATAAGAACAATTAATATCAACTTTGTAGGAGTGAATTGAGTGAAGTAAGGGCAAGCCATCAGCAGGGATTACAGCACTCGGCCCAACAGGCAGACCTTATTCGACAGCTACAAGCTCTTCAGCATGACACCCAAAAAGGTAAGACATTTGAAACAAGTTTTTCTGCCTTTTAACTAATTTTTTAAATTATTTTATGGCATTTAAAAAATTTTGTATGTCTATTTTGCCTATTAAATATTTTATATTTGTATCTACTTTTTGTCATAAGCGCAGGCAATCGCTGCGCGATTCTATGAAGAACGCAGCGCCATGACACGCGCACAACTGATAATTTTTAATGACGATTCGTTCAGACGGTCACGGACATTCAGCAGACAGCGTCGCATCATCGAGTGCTCACAGGGAGTGAGTTCAATTCACAATCGTAAAAACTTTTTGGATGTTCTTCTTTTTGAGATGTGCTTCTTTTCAAGGCTACTTTTGTGAAGTAAAGCAGGGGGCTTTTCAAAATGAATGCTGTACATTTTGGGAATTATTACTATAAAACAATAAATAACGCCATTGTAACATCAGTTTGTATCATGGAGTGTATTAACCGGCATTAAATCAACTAAACTACTGTATAAACCAAGCATGTTTTTAATTTCTTTTAATTTCATGTAAAATGTATGTACTGTACTATCTTAGAAAGAAGCCCAAGGGCTTCTTTATGAAATGGGCTTTTTTTAAACTACTTTTGCAAACCAAAGAGCGGAGCTCAATTCGAGAAGGGCTTCTCCTCGAGATTAAGCCCATTGGGCTTCTTTTCGAGGTTTTACGGTAGTTGTATTGACAACTATTTATATGTATTTTTATAATAATTGTATAATTTTTTAAATTTTCAGTTATCAAAAGCCAGGAAGATGTTCATCATATACATACAAGTTCATACGAAAAGGTATTGATCGAATTGCAGTCAATTTACAGTATGAACATTACTTTAATTGTAAATTTGACAGTGTACTAATATTAACTACCTTAAAATTACTGTACTGTTATATTATATTTTTTGTTTAGATAATTTAATATCTTTATTGTTATTATTATTATTATTATTATTATTATTAGTATTATTATTATTATTATATTATTCTTATTGTTTTGGTGGTTGATATTTTTGATATTGTTTTGATGATATTTTTTATTTTAAGATACTGATAGTGATTGAATAATTGGTGGATATTTTTCTAATCTATTCCCAGATGTATATTGAGTTAAAAGTGAAATATGACAAGTTGGTATTGACTGAAAAGCACCTGCAACAGAAACTGAAAGAATTGATTAAGCCTGTATCCACAATGCATGTACAAACACAGGTTAGTCCAGGACGCTCTGCCTCACGGCAAGTGCCATTGGCAAGAGGTGGTGGTATGGACAGGCAGAGCAGACCAAGACAGAGAGGTCAAACATTCAACGGAATTGGTGTACAAGACATGGAATTGATGAGACAAGAACCTGCAAGTAGGGTGGTAAGAATTGGATTGTTGATATTTGATGATAATGTTAGATGGTAATAATAATGATAATAATAATAATAATAATAATAATAATAATAATGATAATAATAATAATACTAATAATAATAATGATAATAATAATAATGATAATAATAATAATAATAATAATAATAATAATATAATAATAATAATAATAATAATAATAATAATAATAATAATAATAATAATAATAAAATCTTTGTTGACACACGGAAGCTTATATCACCCAAGGGTGTTTTTCAACAAGGCCATGTTGCCATTATAACAATATTAAAACGAGAAAAGGAAAAGAGAAAAAATACTGGGAAATGTAATAAACACACAATTTACAAACATAACAGTTCAATGAACATGCACCAGTAACACTTGTTAATATAAATTTAGTTTACAAAAGCTTTTTGAAGGTTCTGAGCTTTGGTGCAGTTCTTACATCGTCTGTAAGATTGTTCCATATCGTATCACCATGGTGACTGGTAATGGTAAAGATGACGGTAATGATAAAGATAGTGATGTTGGTGGTGATATGATTTTGGCGACAAAAGCAGCAGTGGTGATGATGGCGATAAAAACGACGATCATGAAAATTATCATGATTATGGTCACAAATGTCACTTTTGGGATGATGTGATGATAATGAATATGAAATAGTGTTTAAAGATTTGCATGGCGAAATAATGATGTATTAATGCTTGCTGTAGATAGTTCTGACGTTTTAATTGAATTGCTTCAATCGTCTTAAGGAGAGTAATATCTGATAATAGTGTCAAGTAACTTATATGGACAAATAACAGTTCTTTTTAAGTAACTAATATCAACAAACAACAGTTCTTTTTAGACCTATCTACGTGGTGTACCGCAAGCATTAAAATATGATAATGAATATGGTTATATTAATGATGATTTAATCTCATTAACACATTGCCTTAACATATACTGCACATTTGATCATTTTTTGTGGAATTGGTCCAAATATTATGCTCTTTATCTCTTTATTATTTTACAGAGACTTGAGGACAAATTTAGGGAGCCATTCAGACGATCGCAATCAGCCTCACCAAGCCATGGACAGAGTTCTTCTGAATCGCTATGGAGGAGTGATGTAAGACATGAGCTGAAGAAGAAGGAAAGAGCCCTAGAAGAAAACTATGAAAGAAAGATGTCTGATCTTAGAAAACTCCTAAAACTTAAGGTCTGAAAAATAATATTCAACTACACTGTCTCTACAAATTTGCCTGTATTTGTTCCTCTTTGATGCTACTTCAAATTTTTCTTTATTGTCAGCCTTTAATTTGGAAGACTGAATTACTTATTGGCGGGGGTTTACCATGTAATTGGTTGTTACCTCTAAGCAGTTGAGTGTTTATGTAGTGTATTTTCAAATACTAAAATAAAAATCTATGGGTCTTATGTATTTTCTAATTTGCATTACAGAATGATGAACTGGAGACGATGAGGAAAGTGCACAATAAGAGGTTTCATAGGTTGAAGATTTTACAGGAGGACTGTACCATCCTCAGAGAGCAGATCAGTACTTACGATGAAGAAGAACTGTAAGTAAACTGGTTTTAGAGTTGTTGGACAAATGGCTGACATATGCTGGACGTGGGGCTGATACATGATCATCAATTCATGGCCTTTAAAATGCAATTTACTAATGGAGCTTTTCGTTGTAAATCAATTCATTCATACTTAACATTGTCCCGCAAAATACACGTATACATTTAAATGCATTTTGGGCCTTATTTACCTCAGGCTCCTTTGAACTTAAATACCATCTTTTTTTTATGATCAATAATGAATCAATAATAAAATCAATAATAATATCAAATTTTAACTACACAATTTTTAACCCACGATAATTATGAAATGGTAAGGGAAATCTTTAATAAATATTGTGAATTACTTTTAACTTAACGCAATGACATTTACAATACTTTTGCATTACACAGTTAATAGGATATGTATATTTGTTTTATAATAATATAACTTCCCATTGATCACTTAAAATTGTAATCACTTTTGTATTTTCAGTTATTTTTTTTTCTTTATTATTACATGCATATTTTCACATTGTGTAATTGTTAAAAGGTTTTTCTTTAAATTTTGCTTTAGTTGCACTTTTCATTGAAGGGAGGGGGGCACATCCCCCTCCCCTTTTTGCCACAAAATTTTAAAATTTCAAGGCATATATTGAAATTAGCGCTCTCACTTATCTATTTTGAATATGTTGTACTATGCCACCCCCCCCCCCCTTTGAAAAATTCTGAATTAGTAGCAATAACCAAAGGGACATGACTTAGTGGGGAGGTGTTAATCCTGTCTGCTTGTTAAGTCATTTGCCTGCAATTTAATTGCCCCTGTGTCTTTCCTGCCATTTCCATGCAAGCCCAAAAGAATGCATTAAAAAAAATTACTTTCTATAGGAAACCTACAAAATCTAGAAAGCATCAAAGATCCAATTCCAAACAACTTCAACAAGAGAACAGTGATACAGTGTGGAATGAGCTAGCTTACTACAAAACAAAGTATACACAACTCAACAAAGAGAGGTTAGAAAATATGCAATAATTTGAACCCTATGTTCATTATAGGTTTTGTGGCCTATGATTTAAAGTTGTAGTATTAATTATAATTATAAAAAATATGAATAATTATATAAATAATTATATTTATTATCATTCTCTTTTAAATTTTAGAATTGATATTCACGAGGAAGTTGATAGACTCCGTGTTCAGACAGCATCTGATGCCACTACAATTGCTGACTTAACAAGGTGTCTGGAGCAGGAAAGACTAGGTGAGTAAAAAAAATCATATAAATAAACATATAAATATATACTCAAAATTATTACTACTGTACATTGTTTTTGGTGATTATAATTTGTTTGTTTTCAAGATTTGCAAGGAGTTTTTGAAAAACAAAATGCAACATTAAAACTCTATGAAAAGGAAAACCTGAAATTTGAAGAGCAATGCAGCAAGGTAAATTTCAGATTTTACTATGGACAGTATTATCTTAGTTACAGGGTAATGATTCATAATTCATAATGTTAATACTGTACTGTTTTGTAGTACAATGATTTTATTTGTCTCCTTTTTCCAGAATAAATTGTTGAAACAACAGCTTCAAGATGAAAGGAATGCGAAGGAGAAACTGGTTGCTGATCAGCTGTTGATTGAAAGAGAGGCACGGTAAGAACATGATTTAAATTCAAGAGATGAGGCACATAAGAACAGCTATTGCAAAAGCTATATGTGGCAAAAACAAGCCAAACCAGTCACTCGTCGCAAATCCTATTTTGGAGATAATGGCCAAAACATGCTGGAATGTCTAAATTTTGGAAATCTATTTTATTGCACTAAACTAACATTTATATATCTATACATCATGCTATGCTGTTTTACCATTCTATAGCTTTCATTTTACATTAACCCTGTATTAATAAGTAAAAATCAATTTTTGCGACGAGTGACTGGTTTGGCTTGTCTTTAACACATATGATGACGTGTAAAAAATACATAGATCCAATAATTATTGTGCCTAATTTTTGCATACACCTTCACTGATGCAGGTATAGCTCACCTCTCCTCGGTGAAAACAATATTGTGTCAAGCTTTGAGGTTAGCATATATGATATACCAGTGTACCATTTTGTATGTAAATTCCTCAAGCTGGAGTGAATTTATACCTGTTTTATTGACAGTAATGTAACATAAAACTTCCATTTTAGAACTGCCAGGGCTGATCTAACTACTGCAAAAATAGACTTACTGAGTTGCGAGACAGAGTTGCAAGGCAATAAACAAGAGATTCACCGTCTGAGAAGAAAGATAAAACGAAAGAATAAAAAATGGAAACAATTAAACTCTGATAGAATGATGGGAGCAAAAACTCCTAAACAGGTGAGGGTGACACTCAATTTAATATGTTAACAGGATGGTTGTCTGTTAAAACATAATAATGATGTTATATTGTAATGATGATGATCATGGTAATGATAATGATATTATTACATTAATTTCCGATACTTCCAGCACCAAATACTTTTGAATAAGTCCATCTCAAGAATGAAAGAGTTAATTCCAGAATTTGAGGATGCTGAATGGGAAGATGTGGACTCAGACAGGTATCTATCTATCTATCTATCTATCTATTTATCTGTCTGTCTGTCGCACTGTCTGTCTGTCGGTGTGTCTATCTGTCTGTCTGTCTATCTATAATCATTTATACTGAGCTATTTCCAAAGGATTCATAGCACTGAGTGTCAAATTCAATGTAAAAACGAAAGTGAAAGTGATTCTGGATCCGGTTCTGATTTATGCAGTTCAACAAAAAATTTAGAATAAAAATAACCTAAGCCTACTCCCAAGTCTAAACTTATAACCTTAAATTAATCATGGTTGGGCAAATTTCATCTGAAAAGCACAAGGCCATAATTTATTAAAAATTGTTTTTTGGATATTAAAAAAAAATTCAATTATGGCTATCGTCTTCATCAACGCCATTGCCACTTTCAGCATTTATTGTCAGTACGGTATTGGTTTTGTTTTCATTTTTATTGTTTTCTTATTTATGAATTAGTATAACTGTGGGTTTTATTACTATTAAAAGTTTTTCTAATAAGTAAACAAGCATCCTTCCATTTTGTCTGCTCTCTTCATTTACCTTGCTTATATAAAAATAAAATATATATGTTTTTTTGTATTTGTTGTAGTGATGGTATTGATAGCAGCAACACAGAGAGTCTAGGGCAACATATCAAGCTTACAGCCAGCAGAATGTCTGCAAACAGGTCTTTTCTCATGGAATCCCCAAAATCCCCCCGAGAGGTAACTGGATATTTAGGCCTACTTTATATAGAGGGAGGAATTTTAAAAATATGTCATTTCCTCTTTGAACTGGCAAAGTATAATACATTTTTAAATAATTTAATTATAATGTTTTATAATATTTTAATTACTGTATTAAATTTTTATTTGTTTTTGTTTTTTATTAATACATCAATTATTCATCATCTTAATTATACATCATTTACATTTCTAAATATAATTTACGACAAAGCAAATTTGATTAGATTTGGTTAGTAACATTTCTTTTTTTGTCAATATTAAGCCCGATGAAATATATTATAACATTTTTTTGTTCCATTATTGCTGTTACATATATTTTTTAAACCACTTTTTCTTGCAAAGTTAATTTCAGTTGAAACTTTCTTGCGCCGAATGGCTAAAGCCTATGAAGGGAAATCAGCTGAGAAGACAATATTAATGTCTGTTGCAACTCAAACAGAACGAGGTAAAATAAATTATTTATTTTAACTTTATTTTTATTATGTTATGGACTTTTGTAAGGAAAAGGGCAGTTAAGAGAGAGGGAGAAGCAGTTAAAAAGTGTAGTCATTAGATTTGTTTTTAAATTATATTATTGTATTTGAAAATGAATTATCAAATAAAAAAAATGTTGCTCTAAATTATACTTAAGTACACTCTCTGTTTACACTTGAAATTGTTTTTTTTTTTTAGTTCAAGAGGCAGAGATGAAGATCCTAAGGGATTCTTTGCTTGAACATCATGATGAAACATCATCAATGACAGGAAGCGATGTAAGCAGCGCCAGCACTATTATTGCCTCATGTGAGTAAAATGTATATTTTTAAAAGTGATTTTTGGTGAACGCATCATTGTAGATTGTGTTTAAGGCTATGTGCCATAGATGTGTATCATATTGAATGTGCTACAGGCAAATGTGCCAGTAAATATGTACAGAATATAAAATAAATGTCCCATATAGAATGCTAGATGATGTCAACATAGATTAATGTGCCATAGTTTAATGTTCCATAGGTTAATGTGCCGTAGGTTAATGTGCCATAGGTTAATGTGCTGTAGGTTAATGTGCTGTAGGTTAATATGTTATAGGTTAATGTGCCGTAGGTTAATTTGCCATAGGTTAATGTGCTGTAGGTTAATGTGCCATTGTTGAATGTGTCATAGGTTAATGAGCCATACTGTAGGTTAATGGGCCATTGGTGAATTTGCTGTATGTCAATGTGTCCGGTTTCATAGGTAAATGTACCATATGTGAATGTTTTATAGGTTAATGTGCCATATATGAATATTCTGTGCCATAGGTTATGTGCCATGTGATAATGAATACTGCATTTTATTTTTAGCCCCCAAGATTGAGCAACAACATGCATCAACATCACCGCATGTCCCCCTAACCAAGCTGCACAAAATGCTTGCCAAGACCTATCGTAGCCAGTCTGGGTTTGAGCCAACTATTGGTAGCTTAAAGAACAGACTTGCATCACTTCAGCAGCAGGTGAGTTCCTTGACTTTTTTAATTAATCAATCTTTAAAGCATTATTGTATTCTCAACCTCTAGTGAAACTCCTATCACAGACAAATTCTTTTAATTATTACCATCAAAAATTTATTTTTATGATTTCTGATTTAGTGGTTGTTTAAAAATTTTTGAGTATGCAAAAGATAACTGGGAAAAGTATGCCTTATAAATCTGTATAAATGGTTTTTGAATCTAAACATACATTTTTTCTGTTAACAAGGTTGCAGCCACTAAAAAGTCAAAAGCAATGCTTCAGAAATCTGTAGACGAACTGACAGAAAAATGTCAACAACTTCAAGCTGAGTTGAGCCTAAGTAACCAGAGGATGAAAATAGGCAGGCAAACCATTCAAGTAAGAAGACTATTTAAACTACTACTACTACTGCCGCTGCCACCACCACTACTGCTTCAGCCACTACTATTACTACTGCCACCCCCACCACTACTACTGCTGCTGCTGTGCCTATGCTACTGCTACTACAAGAATATCTGATTATGTTGACAATGAAATCTATACGTCTAATATATATTATAAGTCAGTAATTTCATTCAATATAGGAAGTAAAATCCTTAAAAGCCATTTCCTTCAAAAGTTGCCTTCAGACCTGCTGGCTTCAGGCAATTTTTTCAGGAGATAATGGCTTCTTCGGTTTCTATTTCTTTAGTGTACTCGAAACCTGACTATAATTGCTTATTAATACAATTTATATCTTAATGAGTGGATTGCTTTATTTTGCTTCAGCGGTTAACAGGAGAACTTGAGGAAAGCCATCATGAAACAGAGCTAATCAAACATCAACTTGAAGCCAACAGAAGGGAAACTAACACAGGCTTGAAACAAATAAAACATAGTGACACTGATTGGAAAGACCTAGAATCACGAATCAAGGTGGAGAAATAGTTTTTGGTATTCTAAAATATTTTTGTGCCAGCATTTGATGCTGTGGTTGTGATACCCATGGTGTGCATTTTGCTTGTTCACTTCGGCTTGGGCACTTATCCTATGGTATTTTCTCTAGCCGGGCCCGACCAGACCAAGCCCAGCCCAGCCCAGCCCAGCATAAGTGGCTACTGTACCTGGTAGCTTGAAACACTATGAATTCATTTCCAAGGAAGATGAGTTAATAATAATATTAATAATGAGTTATACTTATAAAGCGCGACACAGCTAAACTTTAATACGCTTTACAGCCACACACACACTCACACAAACACTGATGGAGCAAAAGAGTGGGAGAAGAAGAGGGTAGTGAAAGTATTAAAAAAGATGCGTTTTGAGTAAAGCCTTGTTCTCTAGTGTGGAAGTTTGCTTGATGTATTTCAGGCAGTTCATTCAATAGAGTGGAAGAAGCAAAGGAAAATTTGACCATAAGAGTATTGACGTTTGGGATTTCTTTAAGCTTGAAGAAAATAGTCTTATTTTAAAATGTTATTTTATTTTTTTTCAGGTGCAAGCTACAGTACTTAATTATCTCTTCTACATAGACAGCATATCTTCAACAAAACTTCAATGTTTAATACATTTTATTTTTGACTATGATACTTATGATATATATGAGAATGATTTGCTTATTCTTGATCTTCGAAACCTTCATTTTGAATTGCAGAGCCAGTCTAGTGAACTGTCACGTCAGAGTTTGGTGATTAAGAGCTTGAGAAGTGAAAATGATTCACAAACCCAGCAGATCAAGATACTGCAAGATAGGTAAGCAACAGAGGAAAAATACACCAATTTAACGGTCTTACTTTAGAAAAAAAATGTTTTGAGGGTCCCTAATGATCATCTTCTGCTAGATGGTTCAAATAAAAATAAATATAATAAATAAAAATAATAGCATGAATAATGCATTTGAGATATCAGTGGTCTGTTGCACACCATGTACTTCTGATAAATAAACAAACAAGTATTTTTTACCAAGTGAGGCACCAGCCTCAGGTCAGGGGGAAATATATGCCTTGTTGCATACATACAAAAGTTATTGCAATTGCAGTTTCTATTACATTTGTGCTTTAAAGGACAAATTTTGCCATCCAAGATCATGAAATCTCTTCCCCACTAGGGATTTTACCCTGAAATTGACCACAGGCCCTTGTTGTGTAGACAAACTTTTGCAGGTTTCTGCTTTATCTAAGTATTATGCCTCGTAGTACTGTGAATTAGTCTGCAGATTCATACTGCAGGAGTGCTTGATAGTGAGTGGAGTCCAACACATTTAATAAACATTCGGTTTAAACACCGTCTATTGTCATTGTGAACTGTATATGCACAGTACGGATTCCTATTTTTAGATATTTTCATCAATTTTGACGATTTTTAGCTCAATTGTACTAGAATTAGCTAAATATGCTTGTTTTCTGGATTTTTTGCCGAAATTGGTTAAATCGTTGTATTTACATGACTTCTAATGCTCTTGTATAACTTTTATAAAAATATAAACAAGCATACCTATGGCAAAATTAGACCATTTTCTATATTACAAAGGATTGGTCTAATTTTACTTTTTGATGACGAACAATTTTTTTTATGGATTTATTATTAAATTTATTCTGGAGCTAACTTAAATTATTTTTTGCAGTTTTTCATCTTTTTCATTTTGTGAAATTTTAAACGTCATCAGACTAGCATTTTGTGGTACGGTATTTAAAAAACTCTATAAAACAGCCATTTTAATTTTTAAAACCCATGCAGATCGATTATGGATGCACAGTAGAATAAACACCGATGGAATTTCCAATTTAAATAGTTTGATTTTTTTGTAAACCAATTTATCTTACATTAGTATGCCATGTTTTTAAATTAAATTAATTTCTTTTCTATTTTAAAACAAATGTTGCTAAATTTGTATTCTGGTTGTTAGCTTTTTTGGTAATTTTTCTGTTGAAAGTTCGCACTTAAGGACGCAATGTCGTAGGACAAACTAATCAGAAAGCATTTTTTATGCTTTATATCGACGTTACAAGTTCAGGATAAGAAATTAATCTGCAGTTATGAATTCCAAATTTCAGTATATAATATATCGTAATTGGCATGGTTTACAGTAAAATAATCAAAGGTCATAAAGTTTTTTGTTTTATATCGAAGTCATAGAGTAAAGCAAATTGTGTGTTTGAGGGCAGTGTCATTTTCTTCAAATTCAATTACTTGAATATATTATAATACTATACACCAACTGCAATAATCGACACTACAGTAGTACAATCATGGTAAAATAATCAAAAGTTTATGCTTTAAATCTACGTCATGAATAAAGCGAATTGTGTGGTTGAGGGCAGTGTTTTTATTTATTTAAATTCAATGACTTGAAAATATATTTAAGAACCAGACATCATCAAGTTTATGACTTATGAAAACCCGTATATGTTTGTCAAGATTTAGACTAGCATGCAAATAACAGTCAAAATGATTCACAAATGCATATTTCATTATTATAAACTGAATACAATTTATTTTCTAATTACACATGATACATTACGAATATTTTCCTTCTACATTATTCTTAGTTAACATCAAAGAACCACTTTCCTCCTCAATAAATATTTGAAAGGCTAAATTTATTCTCTTTTCTTCGCCATTGTAAATTTCCAATTTCTAATCGTTGTGTATATCAAATTTATTTATTAAATTACAATAAAAAAAATAATTAACAGTGCCAATTCATCCCAAGTTCAGTCATTAAAGATAGTTTTTGTATACAATCTAATTGTTGTTATTAAATATATTATTTAAAGCATATTGATTTGTCCTTTTTAAACAGTAAAAACCCCTACAAGCTATAAACATTCACGATGACTTTAAAAACGACCTTAAAATGAGATTTGTCTTATTGCATTAAGAAGAGCATAAAAACTGAAAATTCACATTGTCAATAGATGTATCTTTAAAAAATTAACTGTATTTAGTATATTTTTTATTTAAATTAGATGGAAGTTTACATCAATATTCCCAAGGCTTTCTCAAAACATCAACTTATGAGTTGTTTTGTCGTGTTAAGGCACGTGTAGTTAGGGTGGTCCCTAGTCTAGGTCTTTGGTATGGATCCACCTGGTCCTACGATCTATTGTTTAATCAGTCGTCTCCATATCCATCTGCAATGACAAATTTTAATGGGAATATATTACTACTTTGTAAATCCTAAATTAATTGTTTTCTGTGCAAAGACGACATATAATAATAATATTCAAAATGATATAAGTATATAATATACAGCTGAAGCAAATTTATTTAGATTCAAATTTGTTTCCAAAATATGCGAACAGTGACAGTGGTGGCAGCGGCATCATAAAATACATAAGAAAATTTTACAGTCAAAAGGACTGTAAAATAAAAAGGAAGTCAACTCAAACAAGGCTCAAAATCAACTTCAAGATAAGGGTTGGATATCAGGATCTTGCAGTAATCTTTTACTGCATTTACAGTATAGATATAAACTATACAATTAATGCTTTACAATATAATCTTTAATTATTTACAGTACAGATATATACTATAACAATTAATGACTTTAAAATATAATCTTTATTATTTGCTTAAGGGTGTAGTATGATAATGATGATGCTGATGATGATGATAATAATAATAGTAATAGTAGTAATAATAATAATAATAATAATAATAATAATAATAATAACAATAATAAAAATAATGGAATCAATTATATTCTTCATTCTCTATAAAATGGTGGTAGTGGTGATTAAATGAATTACAAAATTTCACTTACTGTGCGATTCATCAAATGAGTCATCTTCGAATGTATCATCCAATCCTCTTTTGTCCATCTGTTCTTGCATTTCTTGTGCTAATTCTTCTTTTATTCGGAGAAGCGTAGGTTTCACTTCTGCTTCAACCATTGAATCGTCAACGATTATACAATTTCTCTGCTGCATAACGATGGGTTTGACTGCTGTATTTGTTATGGAATGGATACAAAAAAGAAAAAATATGTAACGTTTTTTGCATTTCTTGTGCTAATTCTTCTTTTATTCGGAGAAGCGTAGGTTTCACTTCTGCTTCAACCATCGAATCGTCAACGATTATACAATTTCTCTGCTGCATAACGATGGGTTTGACTGCTGTATTTGTTATGGAATGGATACAAAAAAGAAAAAATATGTAATGTTTTTTGCATTTCTTGTGCTAATTCTTCTTTTATTTGGAGAAGCGTAGGTTTCACTTCTGCTTCAACCATCGAATCGTCAACGATTATACAATTTCTCTGCTGCATAACGATGGGTTTGACTGCTGTATTTGTTATGGAATGGATACAAAATAAAAAAAATATGTAACGTTTTTTTAAGACTTTTTAAGATTTTTTTAGACTTACAATAGATATTCTTTTTTTTATAGAATTAATCATAATGAGCGTGATTTAAACCAGAAGAGGTCACTTATGGAAGATTTGAAAGCCAGGGTGAAAGTCGCAGACAAGAAGGACAAATCAGACAACACTTATTTGGTAGGATCATTCTCCCCAGTCTGTTTCTCTCCTCATTAAGAATATTAAGTGATAACTTTTAATTATAATCAAGCTGTAGTGTAAAATAATATAGTTGTGAACAGATTTATTAAGTACAAACAAGTCGTTAAACTAATGAACAATAATGTATTTTTATTTGATTTCTTTATATTTTTACAGAGAGGGTTGGAAGATAAACTGCATGATGTAACCGACGCCTGTGAAAAGAAAAAAACTGAAATTAATTCCTTGCGTAAAAGACTTGCCACGATGACAAAAGAGAAACACAAATATGAAGAACTGCATTATCAATTACAGGAAGAACTTAAATTAACGGTGAGATTAATTATTTGTACTTGGTAAGTACATGCAAATGGAGTGATTGGTGCAAGTTATATTTTGGAGGTTAAAATGTTCAAGCCCAATCACCATCGGCGCCTGTGTTCTAAAATCAGACGTGCACAGCGCTGGCCATAACCTGTGTGAATATTTGATGATGCAACACCATCTGCTTATTGTCAGTGTCGGTTTGTGCGGGTCATTGAAAATGATCTGTCGCATTCAGGTCCCCATGGAATCACATTGATTTTTCAGATGACTGCACATTGTGTTCACATTGTGTGCCCGGCTTAAAAGTATACATTTTTATCTGGTAGGACCACTGATCACTACTATAATAGCTGGATTGCTCATTGGCTGGTTTTAGTAAAGCCATCTACGCAATTTTGGAGGGCCTAAGTGGAGTACCAGTTTAAACAAGTTTCTTTTGGCATTTGTTTATTTAACTGTTAAAAATAACGATTCTTTTTAATAATAAATTTAAATTTAATGTATGAATTTTTTTCAAATCATCTAACCACTTGACACGACTGTTTATGCAGCTTAAAAAAGCAAGTGAGGTTGCGTTGTTAGTAATCGACGTCACTATAACGATGCGACTTAATTTGGTCACGCTTTTGTAAACTGCCTAATAGTCGCGACAAGTGATTAGATGATTAAAAAAAAATTTTTACTTTGAATTTAAATTTATTATTAAAAAGTATTGCAAGAATTGTTATTTTTAACAATAATTTAAACAAATGCCAAAAGAAAGTTGTCTAAATTGGTACTTTACTTAGGCCACCCCAACATGATGTAGGTGGCTTAATTTTTTCTGTACAATGATTGGCTGATCCAGCTATTATAGTAGAGATCAGTGCTTAGGAGATATTTTTTAGTGTGTTGAAATTACTAGTATTTCTCTATTCTCTGTAGTTCTGATATTTGCTTTTGCAAAAACTATTTTCAGACAGATCTCAGTCACCTATTAGTAAATTTTAAAGATTTGCATCATCTGTTTTTTGCAAGAAATTTCTGTGAGAACAACATGTTTTTTATTCTTTGCAGAAAGCAGATTTACGAAAAATGTGCACTGACAAAAACGAAGCTGAGAAAACTGCCGTGGATCTTGAAAAAACTGCAATGAAACAATTACAAAATATGACTCAACAAACTGAACATATAATAGCATCAGCTGACAAGAAGCTAACACACGAGGTACAAAAGCATTGTCAGCTAAAGATGGCCATTGTGGTAAGTGGTTGCCACACTTTCCTCTCTTTTTCGACTATTCTGTACCACTATTGCTACCTATATTTCTTTGAAGAAATACATGTTATTTTAAATTCAATTTAAATATAATTCCATATTAAATGTCCTGATGTACTGTAATAGTATATCATCACTTATGTCACTATTAATTTTCGTCTGCAGATGTTAGCTGAGGAGTTTATGAACCAGACCAAAGATGCAAGAGAATTGGTTCACCAGATGAAGAAGTCTTTAGGTGATCGAGGTAAGATGGATTCATCTCTGACAAAGGCTCAGTCGATAGCATCCTCTATTCTGGATCTAACAGCATCAGATGTTGAGGAACTTATGACCTTGGAAGATTTTGAAGAACATAAGAAATTGGTGAGAAACTTTTATTCAATTTCACAACCGTCAGATTTGTATCCAACAGAAATAAATGATTTACTGATTTAATGACTTCTCCACATTCTCGTGTGGGGATTTGGTCATCACACTTGTCCAGATATAAACAATTGGAAATTATTTGGTTATAGGAAGGTATGTTAAAGAATGAAAGAAGAAAAGATGAAAGATGGATGAAACAATTGGAGAGTTTACTCAATTCTCAGGTAAGGACATATTTATAGCTTGCATATTTTATTCTATGAATACTCACTTGGAATAACAAGGGGGAGATACAGAGATGTCTGAAAAGGGTGGGGGAATCGAGACAACACTACCCTAGGGGGAAATTTTAATTTTGGGCTATCAATAATTTGTTTTCCCTTTTTTTCGAACCTTATAATCACACTTGAATTTGATTTCTAAATATCTACAACGTTTTATCACATTTAGATTGAAATTTCCTTCTTTTAACAGACTCACTTTGCCCAGAAGGTTTTTCAGATGCTTATGGAGAAGATTATAGAGCGAGATAAATTACTTTCAAAAGTTGAGGAAAGAGGAGCTACAGTAGGTACATGAAAATACTGACGATGATTGATTGTACTGCTTCTACAGATATTCATTTATCTTAACTTGGAGAGAAAAATCAATCTTTTAAGAAAAAAGAAAATGTGTTTGCCACATAACGTTATATACTATAATTTTCTTTGTTAGTGTGTTGTTGGTTTTAAGTATTTAAATATGATGTATAGTGTCCCAAAGATTTTTGACGTCTTTTGTGTCTTGCCAAGGAAAGCAATTTTCAGGATTTAACAAAATTGGTAACAAATAATAATAATAACAATAACAATCATTATTTTAACTGCTACAGTATTTTAAAATTTAAAAACAAATGTTTAGCATTATACCTGTACAGTGTATTGGATTTCAAGTTTGAATTATAGAACTATAGAGGGCGGTATTTCAACTAATTTGGACAATTAAAAATTATTATACTCTCTGTAGAGAATATTAACACCTTTGATTGGTTTACTTTGAATATGCCTTAAAATAAAATAGTATATTGTTTTTTGGGGTTGATTCTATCATCGTTTTTGTATCAAATATAAGAAGTTAAATAAATTGCTATATTTTAGTATATGTGCATAAGGCATTTCTTTTTGACTGAGTTGCAATCGTGTGTGGAGATGAATACTGTAGTTTTTGTTGTTTTTAATGGTGAGCTTGCAAAGTTTATTTTGTGAACACAGTAGTTACCTGGTGAACCGGCTGGTGCTAAGCTACATTATTGGAACATACACATAAGTCCTACGGCGAAACGATGACGATTACGTAATAATGATGAGAATGATGATGTTGGTCGATCTAGACAAGCCTATTCTGGGGGTGTGTGGGCAGTAAAAACAATCATAAGATAAAGATATAAATGAACATATATTAATGAGAGAAATGAAATGGAAAAACAACGCAAATGCAAAGCGTTATATTTTACTTGTGTAGAAATAAATATACAGTAGAACAAATTATGAAGTTAAAGCTCGAAGACTTGTATCAGCAGATTAAATGGAACGATTAGGAGTACAGTATATGGCAAGTAGAGATCAGTTTAATAGTCGATCCGCGTAAAATTTTCCATGCCAACCAAGAGTATCTTGAATTGAATTCTTTGACGAATATGCCTACGTAATTAACTAGTGAGTTTCGTAGCCTGGTTTCCCTAGAATCGCTACACAGTCGCTATGTAGCGTTTTCATTGCAATCATTGCACTGCGTGGTTTTTTTCGACACAATCGCGAACGCTCCCTGATTCAACTGACCAATCAGCGTCGCCAAAGGAGTCGGTCATAGTGCGTAGCGATTTTTATGGCAACCAGGCTTTAGAAGGGGTGTGATGTGATCAAGTTTACGGGTGTTTGTAAGCACGTTATGCAGCGGTATTTTGAGTATTAAGCAAGAGCTTATTTAGTTCTGTAATTCCAAAAAAAAAAAAAAAGAAGCAAAAACAAAACAAAAACAAACAAGATTAGTGTGGTCTTTTGTGATTTTTGCAATTTTTATCATTGAAATTTTTATATAGAATACCTTTTGCTTGTATACATACTGTGTTGTGCTTTGATTTGTGAATGTTATTTGTTTTGCTTAATTCTGTTAGATTGACGCAATTCAGTTAAATACTGCAATGTCAATTTTTGTTTTTTAATAATAAACCAGAACACTTTTAAATACTCAATTTTTATTTCATTTCCTAGATTACGGGAGACATTACCTGCTGACCTCCGAAATTCTCTCCTTAATACTTGTTACAAATATTTTCTTAACAATCTGATAAACATTACGCTAACTCTTAATTATTGAAATTAATTTTTGAATTTTTACAATTTTTATATTTTTAACCTATTTCTTTATAAATATTGTAATTAATCTTGTTTTATATATTTTAAGTACAATGAAATTCTTGATGATTTTTTGACTTTTTTACATTGAATATTTTAAGATAATTTTTAATGCCTATCTGAATATTTTATATCTCAAAATACCTTTTAAATTAAATTTACTCATTTATTGATTTTTACACTTTTTTCTATATTTCATTATTTATTTTTCGATTTTTTTTTATCTTTTTGAAGAATTTTATATTTTAAGTGGTTCTCATAAAGAGCCTCCACTCGACAGTGATTGATTTTACCTTTGGAGTGTCCTGTCTCTTTTTTTTTGTACTTTTGTGATTGTTTTTGCCGTTTCTGTTTATGTACATTTTAATTGTTTGAGACAAATAAATGAAATGAAATGAAATTATCGACAGTATCCAAAAACTTTCGAATCCTGTTAAGAATTAGATACTAAGTTGAAAATATGTATTTTTGGACACGTGTTCTTTCGAATTGGAATAACCTGGGTTAGATTCCAAATATTTTGAGATAGTCCTAGTAGCATGATTTATTTTCAATTTATTTCAGTGTTTGTGTTATCTATACATAATTCAATGCCAACGATTGAGAAAAAGTTGTTCAGTGTTTATGTCGGGTGTACATCAATGCGAACGATTATGAATCATCCAATGTTTAGGTCAGATATATATCAATAATAATAATAATAAATAAGATTTCTATTCTGAAGAAATGCTCAAGGCGTTTGAGAAATTCTTAAGACGCTTGTTCAATGTGAACGGTTATGTGACACCCAGTGTTTATGTCCGGTATGTACATAATTCAATGCAATCGGTTGCGAAGCAACAGTTTAGTCTGAAACTTTAAATCATCCACATACATGTGAATATGTAGGTATGCCATGTAATTATGTATTCATTAAATGATTATGTATTCATTACACGAATAAACCAATTTATATATATTTTTTATATTAATAGGATATTAAATATTGAAAGGAACGCACTTTACAATAAGCATTGATTAACAAATACGGAGAATAGGGTAATAACTAAATAAATATTCTCTACTTCTTATACATAGCCTAATGC